AGCTAGCAATGGGGCTACTAATCCTCATTACTAACAATCCCTTCTCCCCCCTTTACAAGTAAGTATGACAATATTGTTATTTAATGTAATATTTACTGGCTTAACGTGTATTTTAGCCGAAAAAGCTCGACTAGTTTCGGGCATTCGACCCGTTGAGCATAGGTCACAGGCGCTAGTAGGCACAAACTAGTCTTTCTCGACTCAAATACGTGTAAATTAAACCGGTCGTTGTTACATTAAAATAAAATATGTACTTTCGAATCTTTTACAGACTTGGATCTTCATTGAATGAATGAATGAATATACTTTATTTGCTATATACAATATAGGAAATAAGCAAGACAATTAATAAATATAACGATACAATTGTATAAGTACAGTAAGACGATCTAAAAGATTTCTTTTAGCAAAAGCTAAGAGCAATCTTTTCAAGACAACCTTAAGGTAATGGACTAATTATTGTATAAGTAGGTATGATAGTACTGTATAATTAAGAACGTATCTTTTGCAAATAAAAATATATATTCTTCATTTATTTAGTTCGTTTTGTTTATCTTTACAAACTGTTATATTTTAGCAATAATTTATTTAGTGTTTAAACTAAAAACTGACTAAAGCGCAGAATTAGGTTAGAAACAAGAATGCAAGTAAATTCCGATGCAATGCAAGCTCTTACATCATTACGAGTTTGCGAATCATTACTGTTCCATTGACGAGTATGGACCCATTATAATGCTAGCCACGTAGTCCAGTACAGGGTTTTATTATTAAAGTAATAAACAAACTAATTTCTTTCTTCTTAAAGTTTTATTTCGAATATTCCTTCTGGTGTGTACAGATTAAAAAAAAAACATCATCAATCGTGACAAAATGAATATGGTACCAAATAGGAATCAATATTAAAAATGCAAAAGTTTGTAAGAAAAAAAATAAAGAGATGTCAGTAAGAATGCGGTCGAAATGTGATCCCCTTATTCTGCAACAATGTTGCGGGAGATTAACTAAACGTAGAATCGATTATAAGGAAGCAAGGAGAGGTTGGAGCTCGTTATAGTTAGGGTTACTATTCGAAATTTAAAAATTCTAAATCTGACAATAAAAATCTGACATTATTGTTTAGATTTTTTTAAATACGTTCTCGTTAAAATAAGGTTACATTCTCATTATTATTATTATTAAGCAAAATACAGAATTTTTTAGAATGTCGAATAATAATGACGGTATGACATTTAAAAAGTTTGGATTATACTATAATAAAAGGCTTCTAGCAGTAAAATTGAGTTTATTTCAAAGAACATAACAAAGTTTTTTTTTTCGCCCAGAATGATACCCCAGGATGGCGTTCCATTGGTGAGGACTCATGATGTTAGAATATATTCTGTCGTCCATGATAAAAAAGTTTCACGCCATATCCTACGACCTTTAAACCGAAACACAGCCATGCAAACACAACTGCTTTACGTTTTTGAAACACGAAGAAATGGGACAGATGGAATCTATCCCAAGCAATAATTTTTGTACAAAGTTAAAAAAAAACTCTGGTAAATGTTAAAATATATTAAACTGATGGAATCTATCTCAAAAGGGTGCTAATAATTTTAATGCTGTCATAAAATAAAAAAAATTACATCTAAAAATAAAATAAAAAACAAAGACTAAAAATATATTAAACATAAAGCAGAACTCTGGACGCGTCCAGACAAATTCGAATAGATGGTAACCCTAATTACAGTGGAATATTGGAATATTAGTTAGCTCATCATGATGAATTCATCAGGAATTAACCATGATAGTTTCCAGGTAGAACCGCGAGGAAGTCGACCTGGTCCCATTGCTAGCAATATACCCAATATTGCTAGCAATGGGATTCTCAGTCTCCATTACTAACAATCCCTTTCCCCCTTTCGATTCGGTTGTTGTATTTTATGTTTGTTACCTCATAACTCCGTCAGTTCTAAACCGATTTGGAAAATTCTTCTTTGAGAGATATAATCTTACAAATTGGGGCCATAGAAATTTTATAAAAATCAGCTCAGTAGTTTAGTTTTTAGATGGAAATAACTTATTTTGTCACAATTGTAGTCGGTTTGTTTATGTGGGGCATAATAACGATGTTGTATCATCTTAGACTGTATAACTAGTTACTTACTACTTACGCCGGCGTATAACTGTTAGCGCAGGCGGGTTTACTATTCCATTATCATCCATTAAAAAAAAGTTATAAATAAATGTTATCGTATTACAGGTTTTATATAAGTAGGTAGGTATTATATGTATTTATAGTGTATGTATTTATGTAATATTTTATTATATATTTTAATATTTTATTTAACTGTATATTTGTTTATGTATTAATATTTGTACCACTTTAGCTGCCCGCTAACGAAATGCTTTCTTACTGTACTGGGTTGACTGGAAGAGATCTCTGTCAGAGATAAGTCCGCCCTTGCTCACAACATTTATAAATACATTATTTTATATGTAACTTACAAGTGCAATAATCTTCCATCGTGCGTTTTTCAAGATACTTTCTTCCACGCACAACCATTCTTTGGAATCAACTTCCAGCAGCAGTATTTCCGAACCGATACGACAACATAATCTTCAAGAAAAGAGTATATTACTTTTTAAAAGGCCGGCAGCACACCTGCAATGCCGCTGGTGTTGTGGGTGATCATGGGCGGCGGTAGTCACTTACCATCAGGTGAGCCTGTGTTGCATATATATATATATATATATATATATATATATATATATATATATACATATATATATATAAAGTTGTTGATAATAACAATTAGTTACAGTTAATGCATACACTTATTTTAACTGACAAATGAAGTGAAATTAATCACAATATAGAATTTTGTATACCTACATATATCGACTTTCGAAAGTTATTTTAGAACTAGATAAAACAACAAATATACAGTATATTAAATTTTAATTATATTATAACCGGACAACGAGACTAAAAATAACTTTCGAATAAAGTCGTAACAAATGCCGGAAACCCCCAACACGTGTGTTTATTAAAATCCCGTTATCCAATTACAAAAACAAAATTAATATAAGATTTAAAATTAATCAAATAAAATACTTTCTTTATTCTCAACAGAATACTGTACCTGATTGCGAAAAAGGGACAAAAATTGAGATAGCACAGGCATCCGTAATGCGATATGGGTTGCAGGAATCAGATTAGGATCTTGGTAGCCAACTGGAATCTTTATTATCTTGACACTTGCTCCGTTCCCTGTTGAATACGGTAGTCTAGTAAGAGAATCTCCGCACATCTCAAAGATTACATGCAATTAAATGTCAACTTTATGATACACAGTATAAAGTTGAAAAAGGTAATAAATATTATGGAATTATTAGGTAATGTGATTATATTAAGTGCTGTTTGGAATTTAATCAAAGTTTAGAAGATTACTCGTCTTTTGTTTTCGACTTTTTTTTATACAACTTAGAATGGCAAACGAAAAAGAAAGTGGTAACCGTCGCCTATAAACATAAGCAGTACCATGGACATAACAGAGTATACTGTTTCGCCCATGATACCCCTCATGCGTTGCCATTCCTGAGGACTCAGATGTTATTCCTCTGTACTCTGTAAATTCACGCAATATCCCATCCTTCAAACCAAAACGCAGCCATGCAAACACAACTGATTTACGGTTGAAACACGAATGGGACAGAAGTACCCAAGCAAATGACTTTTGTACGTGAAGTCGGCTGTGAAATAAATAAATGACATGACAGATAAAGCTATATACGATAAAAATACATACCTAATTTTAAGTTTTTGATAAAACATACATTATACTCGTATAAATGCGCTTAATACAACTTGTAATTAAACATCCTAATAAAATAATAAATGCGAAAATTTGTAACGATGGATGGATGGATATTTGTTATTCCTTTATGCAAAAACTACCGGACACATTTGAATGAAATTTGGTATGCGGTTAGATTATGTCGTAATTTTGTATTTAGGATACTTTTTCTACGGGTTCACGCGGGCAGAGCCACGGAATACAGCTTGTAACATAATATTATATTGAATTAAATATTAAATTCAAAAGTAGATTTGCTCAAAGACTGCATTATAGAATGCATTTTGTATATTTATTTTACCTTAATATTCTTACGTAAGTAGACAAAGTTGAAATAGATAAAACGGTTATCTATTTATTAAGCCAGTAATATAAAATTATATTTTTTATTTTCTTTCGTGGATTATGTATTTAACTTAAATTTTTACAGATGAAAGAGCCGTAGTATCGACGGGGTAAAGGAATTTTTATATGATACTTAAAATTTCAAATCACCTTAAAAATATATTCACGAAGATACAAATAATATCTTACTATGGAATGTACTTGAATAAATTTAGAAGCAGTTCACAGTTAGAAGAAACGTAGCGAGCCCAAATTCATTATTTACACAAATCCTTTGCGCAAGTTGTCTAAAAAAATTAGTCGTCTTTTTTTTTAAGTAACATTCAATTTACCTAATTTGTTTAAATGTCAATGTCGTGAGTTCTTTTTCTTAGGAACATCACTAACAGATTCAGCTTAGGAAACTCGTCAAAGCTTGTTTAGTCTGGTTGACACGTAAGCTCCGGCAAACTTATTCATCGTCTCCAATCTCGCAAGTTTGGCTCGAGACTGATGCTTCTTAACGTCTCAATTAATATTTGATGGCGGTCCATTGTGAATATTCAATCAGACATTATCCGGGCACAGTCCAAGGATGCTTTCAATTATAAATAGCGAAAACCGATGAAAACGTACACAATTCGCACCCTTCGCTTTTCTGCAAGAACTAGCGGCGTTTTTGCCTCTGCGGCATGTTGTCGTCACGCGATATTGGATTCTCTATTAAGTTAGGAGGGTTGTATTTCCTCTGTTCTATTATTCGGGGGATGCTGCGTCTCCGTATGTATTATAAATTGGTTTAGAGCGGCGCGGGGGAGTCTCCGTCGCCCGCTCGATACCGGCCAGTCGCGAATCCGGCTTGTAAGCGGTCGCTTCTTTGCGCCCCGGCTGTTGTCGATTGAAAAACATTAATCACATTATTGTAGCAGTTTTGATATCTTATCGGAGACCTAGTGCACAGGTTGCGTGGCTCTGTTGTGCTCATACAACGCGAGTGTTGTTTTGTATTTAATTCATACAGTGTTGGATTGTTGCAGTGGAGTTAGGGGGTAGAGTTTTTCGTGTGTAAGGTAAGTGCTTCACTTTAATTATTATACTGCGCCTTCAATCTACTCACAATTGGATTTGGCGTGACAAAAGACTGTGTTAGCTTAAAAGGTTGTCAGATTTAATAAATTTCCGCGAAGGTTTGTCTAGTTTATTTATATTTCGGTTTTCGGTGTTTCTTTTTTTTTTCAAAAGGGTAGTGTTATCAATGTATTGAACATTTGGATAACAACTATAATTGTATCAATAAATGTAATGCAACAAATTACTATGTAACTTAGTATTGGTGCAGTAAAAGCAAAATCAGGTCTAAGGTCGAAATGCCGCATTGCCTATCTAAAATGGAATGTATTAAGTAGGTATGACTATGTAAACAAGTAAGTGTTCGAATCATTCTGGATTTTTATGTCATTTTTCAATGTTTACGTAATATGATTATTATACAAGAAACAGAATCTATTTGTCAGTGTCGGTTTGGTTAATTTATACATTTTCGACAATCTTAACATGTAGATGTCACAGCTTTAGTATGTTGATACTAATAAAATAAAGAGCAAAGATTTAAATTTTGGTTTGTAATAAATAATACCGAGAAGTACTTAAATGATTTCAAAAATTTTTTCGCCTACATTCAGCTACGTTATCAGCAAACTAACATGAGTATTTTATTTAAAGGAATGCGTGCGAAACCGGAGCTGGTCGCTACTGTGCAAATACGAATATATCCCCACATATAGAACTAGCTATTTATCATAGCTTTACCAACATGGTGCCTGTCGTTTCCATGGTTATTACTATTAGATGTTTTTAGTAGATACGTCATAAAAAAATTGTACCTACTCGTTCTAAATTCCTTATAAATTATATGATCGCGTACAGCACGATTTCATAGATGTATCCTCTCTCGAACGCTCAGGTTATGGAATGAGCTCCCTGTTGAGGTTTTTCCAAGAGACTACAGCATGGGGTTCTTTAAAAAAGGAATAAAGAGGTTTTTTCAGGGTTAGCAACGCGGGTAATGCCCCTGGTATTGCAGGCTACGGTAACCGCTTACCATCAGATGGGGCTTGTTTGCCACCTCAGTGGTATAAAAAAAAGAATTCATATTTTTCTCCGCAGGAATTTAGATTGTATGCTAATGCACCAGCCAGTCAGTTACTCAGAATAAGCATTTCTATGTGTACCTATACCTCTTATAGTATTAGGTTTTATATATGAGTATGTATGCCTATGTTACTTTATTGAATGATAAGGAATGATAACCTCACCTGTGCTTATGATATACGCTTTTGGGGCACCAGTGACGGATGATAGGTGAGAATGAAAAGGCAGGTCAGTTAGCCCATCGTGATGATTACACGTGGAATTCAGTACGATGGTTTCCAGCGGGCAACCACGTGGAGGTCGACCTGACCTGTATATTGCTAGTAATGAGACTGGTAGTCTGCATTACTAACAACCCTTTCCCCCTATATAGGTATCATTATCGCAGAGTGTCGCTGATTGTCACCTATTGTTGCTTAGTGTATCGGAAGCCACGTCAAGTCGTCCTCCAGTAAGCTACGTGAAAGTCTTTCGTTTATGACGAAGGCGGCTTAGAAACTCTTGATAGTAGAGGGCAACACCCACGTACGAGGAGTTATACTCCTACTACTACTACTCTACAAACAAAGACTCGGCAAACAAGCTGACGGCCCACCTGATGGAAAATGGTAACCGCAGCCTATAGACATGAGCAGTACCATGGACATAACAGAGTATACTGTTTCGCCCATGATATCCCCCATGCGTTGCCATTGCTGAGGACTCAGGTGTTATTCCTCTGTACCCAGTAAATTCACGCCATAACCCACCCTTCAAACCGAAACATAGCCATGTAAACACAACTGCTTCACGGTAGAAACACGAATGGGACAGAGGTACCCAAGCAATCGACTTTTATACAAAGTCTCCCTCTTATTACAGTTTGCAATTGTATAGTTTTTACATTTTCAATGTTAAATTTACTAATAAATCAATAAACTACTTGGTAAATGAATATTGTCCTTTTTCTCTGATAATCCTCGTATTTTTCTAATTTTTTTTTTTGAGCCCAAAGCGAAATATTGAAGGCATGAAGGATACGGGCTACTTATTATATGGGTCGCAAAAAACAAACTTCCTTATTAATAAAAACGTCAAACCACTTATAAACCTATTTTAGCTATTGAAATGTCGTGTCCTTTTCTTTTGTGCTAGTTTTTCAATTTGCGGGACAGTGACAAAACATTCAAAGTCGAGGGCGTATACAGTGTGAATAGAATAAACCTTCAAATAGATAGTACAGTAGGTTTATTCGTGAAATCAATTCCCTCCAATAGTTTTGTGGCATTTAGCTTTCTCGGATTGTAATACTAGCGATATTGTCATCATCTCAGCCATTATCTGTCCACTGTTGAACATAGGCCTCCCACATAGACTACTATAAAGAACGGTCCAGAGCCATCTGTAATTCTGCAAACATTGACTCTCTACAATGCACTTAAGGTCGTCACTCCATTTATTGGGGGGTCAAGCTACTGCGTGTTCTCGTACAGGGTCGCCAGTCAAGAACTTTTCTACACCATCGGTTGTCGATTTTTTAAGCTATGTGACCAGCCTATTGTCTTTTCAGATTACTTATTCTTCAAGTTACGGCGATTACTTTAGTTCTTTTGCAATATATTTATTTCACTAACGATATATTGGTTTAATATTGCGATATCTTTAAAGGGATTAAAAGGATATTGAGTGTATATTGTAATCGGTTCATTCGATATTCTAAACGCATATTTTTACAGATGTATATGCGTAACTTGCGAATACAAACGTGATCCCAATTCTAGTCCAATTACTAGTTGTTACATTTCAAGATTGTGACACAAAATTGTTATTGTAAATAGATATTTGAATCGATACTGAGAATGGATTCAAAGAGATAGTTAAATGGTTTTAAAAAAATAAGAGATTCCTTGTTATTTAAAAAAATATATTAATATTGTATAATATAAAATCTCTTTACAATAATACAAATTTTATAACAATTTATTTATTTAAAACTAGCATTTACCAGCGACTTCGTCTGTGTTCCTAGGATATGTTCACTGATCGGAATAAAACATAGTCTATGGTATGTCCTTTTACATCACATATAGAACATGTATTTCAAATTTCATAGCGACAGATTTAGCCGTTAAGGCTCTAAGAGGTAACAAACCAACAAGTTGACTGTCACATTTATAATATTAATAAAGATTGATAATTAAAAAAAAATACAAACTTAATAATATATTATAAATATAGTCAAAATAATTTCTCATGAACGGCTTATTTCGCAAATTCTAGCTGATAACTAATATATATATATATATATATATATATATATATATATATATATATATATATATATATATATATATATATATATATATATATATATATATATAGAGCAAGTAAAATTGTTTTAGGAATAACATATCACTAAAGTGAATGACCTCCTATTTTGTTGTACACTTGTACATTTTTATTGGTAATCAGTAATGGCGCAGTGCCAACAAGATCTATCTTAATAATAATAAATCAGGCATATTGAAATGTCATAGTTTATGTATAGCTGAACAACCAAATCTTATAACTCCCAGCTCTTATTAATATTTTTCTACAGTATTTTCTTTTTACAGGTGATAATGAAATAGTACCCCATCCGCGCTATCGGCATACACCGGTAGGGCACCAGTGAAGAATGATAGATGAGGATGAAGCAGGTCAGTTAGCCCATCGTGACGAATTCAACAAGAATTGTTCACGATGATTTCCAGGGGGAACCACGTGGAGGTTGACCTGATATTGCTAGCAATGGGGCTGTCAAACTCCATTGCTAACAATCCCTTCCCCCCTTTCTACAGTATTTTTTAAGAATATAATATATATTGATACTTATAGGAATATGTATTGTACAGACAACAGTAGCCACTCGTTAGTAGGATTGTGCTCAGAGGAATTGTTCAATATGATGCCCAAGGCCACTTTCTACAATCGTACGGCTAACCATTGATAAGGAGTTCACCCTCATACCCTACACTCTAAATGGTCGGGTACAACGCGTTTTCAGAGATGTTTCCTCCCAGGAGCACTCAGGTTATGGAATGAGCATCCTGCCGAGGTTTTCCTAAGAGACTACAGCATGAGGTTCTTCAAAAAAGGAGTAAAGAGGTTTCTTCAGCGTCGTTAACGCGGGCGTAATATCCTTGATAGTACAGGCGTTCATAGACTACGGTAACCGTTTATCATCAGATGGACCATATGCTTGTTTGCCACCTCAGTGGCATAAAAAGTATATAATTAAATAATATACATTGTAATAAAACCTCTAATATAATAAGTACTTAGAAAATGAAACAAAGCTCCGGGCGTATTTATAATTTCCGAGAAAATTAATTCATCTGCTAAAATTTTATGAATATTTAGAAGGCTGAGATGATACGACTAATTAGGTCTCGTAAGTAGCTACAGGAAAGTCCAGTCAAAATACGGGAATAGTTAAGTTTCTCACTTGGTACAAACATTTATTTATGATATTAGTTCTTATTGTACATTATTATTAATTATACCGTAGGTGGCGGAAACCACCAACAAATTAATTCCCAAAGAGGGTTGACGTCAGGCAGGTGGCTGGTCGTAAAACTAAAAACCAAATCTTTTTGTAATATGGTTAAAATCATATTACGCCGACCCCAAATGATTGGGATAAGGGTAGGAAGATGATGATGATGTACATTATTAATTATTATTCTTATGTCAGCTTATAGTTATTAAGCCGATTTTTATAAGCCCATGTTCAACAGTGGATAGTTATCCAATGTTGAACATGGGCTTACGACATAGGTGGGGTTTTGCCAGTAGTTGCCACACTTAGCAGGGGGATTGACAACTGCAGTTCGACCATTAAGTTTCCTTAGTCGCTTCTTACAGCACTCACGGGAAAAGGAGTGGCGTTTTCTATGCC